CATAGCCACTAGATCCAGTCTGTATCCAGATCAGATGGTCACTGCAGTCACCCGGATCCAGTCCATATCCAGCCCAGATGGTGGATCAGCACCAAGAGATGACCTCTACATCCCTGAATGTCAGCGGAGACCAGGACAACTTGATGAGCCCCAGAGACAGATCCCCAGTGAAGACCTCTTCACCTAGACAGCCATCGGGACAAGACCACGGGAACCAGATGAGTCCTCTGCACAATCTGACTTTGCTGCAGCATGGAACAACCTGCTGGTTCGTCTGGCCAGAGGAGAATTGGCCCCCGACTGAGCCTGGTTTCTCCTAAGGTTTTTTTCTCCATTCTGTTACCGATGGAGTTTTGGTTCCTTGCCGCTGTCGCCTCTGGCTTGGTCTGACAATACAGTACAGGTTTATAAGAAGGGTCGCATTAATTTACTAAGGCGACTGAGATCCTTTGGTGTATGTCAGGTACTGTTGAAGACCTTCTATGATTCTGTAGTATCATCTGTGATCTTGTATGCTGTCACCAGCTCGGGAGGGGGATTGTTGGAGAAGGAGAAGAACAAACTCAACAAGCTTATAAAGAAGGCAGGTTGTGTTGTGGGGTGTGTAACCCACCATAGACGAGATAGCAAAGGATAGAATGATTGATAAAATGGTAAATATGATGAATCATGATTGTCATCCTCTTCATCAAACAGTTCGAGCTTGTGTGAGTTCTTTTAGCTCAAGATTAATTCAGCCTCAGTGTTACAAGGAACGAAATAGAAAGTAATTTTTACCAACACCTATTATATTGTATAATCAATGTCATATATATATATTAGGGCTGTCAGTTTAACGCGTTAACTTAATTAGTTATGAAAAAATATCTTGATTAAAATATTTTAAAGCAGTTAACACACTGGCCCCCAGACCTGTATGTCATCTTACATTTCATATAGTTGACTGTTGACAAATATGATGCAGGTCAACAACTCCATAAGTGCAGTTATGCCCTAAAGTTCAAGATAGATATACACCAGTTCAGTAAATAAGAAATTAATATTTTGTTATATTTTAAACACAATATTGTCTGTTTTTGCTCAGTTTTGCTAACAAAAATATTACCTAAAGCTACAGAAGAATTGTTGTGCGTCTCCGAGCAACACAGTGGTGTTTAGTTTCTGAATGAATCCACGTTTTGAACGAATCGTGTAAACCAATGATTCAAAGACCCATTTATAGAGAGAGCCGTTTACTTTATTTATGAATGAATCAGCCGTTTGAATCGAATGAAAGACTCATAAAGACATTTACCGCCACCTGCTGGCAGTTTTAGTTTCTCATTTAGAGTATTATTTCATTTAAAAAGGGGGGGGGGGACAGTTCACCCAAAAAATTGAATTATGTCATCATTTACTCAAACCTGAATGACTTACTTTCTTTTGTGGAATATAAAAGAAAGTATTTTGAAGACTGCTGGTAACAAAGCTGTTTTGGTTACCAATGACTTTCATTGCATGAACGAAAAAAAAACTGAGATGTTTCTCAAATTATCTTCTTTTATGTTCCATAGTTTATGTTGGGCCGTTGTAGCCTAAATGTTTATGTGTAATATATTTTATGTTGAATTAAATAAAATATTTATTTCTAAATCTATTATTTAATGTCTACTTGATGCGTTTCTCATTTAACACAATAATAGCTTTAAATAATCTTTTGTGGATATTTGCACAGCCAAATTTAATTAGATTAGGCTAATTAATCGCCGCAACATGTAATTAATTCGATTACAAATCAATAAATATATTTCTTTTTTTCTGTTGTTCTAACTGAAGAACATGCCATTCTAGAAACATCTGGAATCACAAGATGAACCATGGTTCATTTAGACACTGGTCTGCCAATTAGCAGCCTTGTCATAATTACAGCAGAAACAGTGAGGGGTAAATATCATATACGGGGGTTGTTTTGGATACTTCGGGGTATTTTGAGTCTGAGAGGTTGAGAAGCGCTGTGGTCTTATCAGTCACGGGTAAAGCGATCATAAACTCCCTCGAGAGCCCGTGCTGATCTGTAATAATCAACTAACTTATCTGCGATGAACGCTCGCGATGGGGAAGTAAAGGAGCGTTTCGTGCATCAGAGCTATTTCAGAATGACACGACATTCTTCTGAACTATGATTAATGATACGAAGAAACGAGCATTTGAAAAAAGTTTAAGATGAAGTACTAAAATTACTAAAACTTTTTTTGTTAAGATTAGTTTTTTTAGTGATTTTGCCTTTATTTTAGATAGGACAGTGTGACGACAGGAAGCGAAGTGGGAGAGAGAGAGGGGAGGGATCGGCAAAGGTCCATGAGGCGGGATTCAATCTTGGGACGCCCGCAGCACAACGGCGCTATATGTCGGTGCACTGCCCACATCGGCGCCAACAACTACATACATTTTTTAATATTACTTTTTAATGTATGTATATATGTATTGAAATAAAGCTCATGTATAAATATATTAGATGAAAATTATAAAACAAAAAATGCTGCTTTGGCAATTACCTGAAATATGTTTAAAATGAAGTACTAAAATTACTAAAACTGAAATAAAAATAAATGAAAGCTAAATAGAAATATATAAATAAAACTAATAAAATTGATAAGAGCACATAACAAGATTAAATTGAATAAAAGATAAATAAAATGAAATCTGAAGATATAAAAAAGAAAAGCTAATTCAAAATATGAATAAATAAAACCGCCTCAAGCAAGCATGTAAGTTTTTATGCACATTTTGGACATTTTATTCATATCTTTGGCTTTTCATCTACCATTTTTTAATGCAACATCCCAAAATATCCTTACAAATATGTGAATAGAAACCCGTCTCACTGATCTGAGGACCCTGTGGCCGTTTCTGCAGATGCTTTCGGTATAGAAGGGGTACTTAAATCTCGCATTGTGGAAAAATACACAAATTAAGAAACCAAACGTCATGAAAAGCATAGAGCTGGTTGTGAATGAGCAGCTGCTTCAGGTGATGTGCTCAACAAAGGCTGTTAGAGGCAGATGAGCTGACGCGTGTCTGATGGGAATGTGTAATGGGAGTGTGTTTGTACCCTTAATGCATCTGTGTTTTGTCTCGTAGGCCATTACAAATACAATGATCTGACTGCTGCTGAATCGTCTGTGTGCAAACTTGAAGAAAATAATAGTGGACCATCTATTAACGGAGGCTGTGTGTGTTTGTGCGTGCGTGTGTGTTTATGTGTGTCTGTGTGTGTGTGCGCGTGCGTGTGTTTGTGCGTGTGCGTTTATGTGTGTGTGTGTGTGTGTGTGTGTGTGAGCGCGTGCGTGCGTGCGTGTGTGTGAGAGAGAGAGAGAGAGCGGTTGTGCGTGCGTGAGTGTGTGTATGTGCGTGCGTATGTGTGTGTATGTGTGTATGTGTTTGCACACTCACCTGACATGTTCCCGCCCCGCAGCCGGCCAGCATCTCTCGCAGTAGAGTGAGTTTCTGCCTGAGGGAACGAGAGATGAAGCCGCTCTCATTATCAGCACACACACCGAGGGTCGTTAATAATTCACACTCTGACTCGGTGGTCAATAATTCACCGGTGCCGTTTTTAGTTGCCATGGAGACGCCGCCGAGCAGGGCATTGTGGGTATTGTCTGTGTGCTTCCACCCTTATTTAATATCAATGCGGGTCAGGTAATGTAATACTGTGTGCTGAATTGATTGAGATGTTTGATAGTGTCGGTATGTCAGTACTGTGGCCGTATCAGATGGTAATACCATGGTGTTTTGATGTGTACCGTAGTGTTGGTTAAATACCATATTGATATCATAGAGAAGAGAAAAATAGTGAGCTGTGTTTGTGGACGTGAGTCTGTGTGTATGTATGTATCAAATAAATAAATATAATATATATATATATATAAAATACAAGTTTGTGTGTGTGAATGGGCACAGTCAGCTCAAAGAGCTAGTCATCATGTTTATATTGATTTGTGCGTTTACTCTGTGTGTGTGTGTGTGTGTGTGTGTGTGTGTGTGTGTGTTTATGTCTCACCCGTCCTTAGAGAGGTGAAATCTGAAGAAATCATTTGCCGCCAGCTTGATGGCTTTTTCAGGAGTGACGAGAGTTAAGTTCACCGCCGCACCTGAGAGAGAGACAAACATACATTCTCAGTGACATCATTCACAAATAAGCTCTTTGTTGACAATTAACCACATAAACGTACCTCTGTACATGCCGAAGTATCCTTCTGAGCGGATGGTCTTAATAAGGCAGTCTGACCTGCAGAGCACAGTACACACATCAAGCACAAGTGAATCTAATGAACTGAATCTTCTATTTATGTCTCACCCGTCCTTAGAGAGGTGAAATCTGAAGAAATCATTTGCCGCCAGCTTGATGGCTTTTTCAGGAGTGACGAGAGTTAAGTTCACAGCCGCACCTGAGAGAGAGACAAACATACATTCTCAGTGACATCATTCACAAATAAGCTCTTTGTTGACAATTAACCACATAAACGTACCTCTGTACATGCCGAAGTATCCTTCTGAGCGGATGGTCTTAATAAGGCAGTCTGACCTGCAGAGCACAGTACACACATCAAGCACAAGTGAATCTAATGAACTGAATCTTCTATATGATTCGAACCGTCTGTTTGAACGCTCACATGCTGGTATAGAGGCGCGATCCATTCTGCTGGTTCTGAAGGCGGGTTTTGGCCAGATCGATGGGAAACACGCAGGTAACGCCGATCAGTCCCGCCACACCGCCGTTTATTAGCTTGGCAGGCAAACTGGAGCGAAGCAGGAGAGGAGACGGCACATAAGTCGAAGTATCATTGGGTTTTAGGTGGTTGCTAGTGGTCAAAAGAGGTCAACACCAAGTCAAGTAGTGATACCTGATCTGTTTGTCAGCCATTTATCTGGCTCCCTGTACTTCTTCAGTGTGTGTGTTTAAGGCGTCAGAGTGCAGTCTTTGCAGATTTCTCCGAGTGTTTTTGGATTTGGGATTTCAGTCGATTCACCGTCTTCTGGCTGATCTCTGAAAGACACACACACAGAGATTGAGAGGATATTAGTGTTTCTGATACAGGTGTCATCTCTCACTGTTTGACTCCAGAAATTCCTCACACTGGACTCGCTCTTTCCTTTCCTTCCCCATCTGTTCCTCTCACCTCATCTCTCTGTTAGGGCTGGGTATCGATTCAGATGTCCCGATTCGATTTCGATTAGCAAGCTCTCGATTCAATTCTATTCTCGATTTTTTGATTACATTCAGTGAATATAGGCCTAGTTTTAATACAAATGCTATTGATATTTCTAAAAAATGAACAGTAAACATCAGTTTACAAATGGCGAATTAATAAAAAGAAATTAAGAACCACATGCCTGTATTTTAAACCTATTCTTTTTTTTGTATAGGGTCCTTTTTTAAACAATAATAGGGCCCTATACAATGTTCTTAATTTTTCTGGTAATCAGATGAAGGCATAAAACATTAATTTAATTTATCCTAATCAAATGAAAATTAAACCCTTTAATTTTTTGGCAAACAAAGTGCTGCACAACAGAGGTTTACTGTTAAAATTAAAAAGAAAACAAATGTGATTATTACTTCCAATAGTCTTTCCTAATGGTATGATTTATTGCTGGTGTCAAAGTTAATGAAATCAGGCAATGATCTGTCAATGGCGCCGCAGAAATTGAAACAGTATTTGCAAGCTCAGAATATTCCTCAGTTATAAGCCAAAAGTCTATCTGTGACTTAGAGGATCCATTAGGTTTGACCCAAGAGAACTGACTAGCATTAGGATGCTTGACCCTCCATATATCTATAAGGGAATTTACCTGGCAAAACTCCTGAATAATGATATTGAAATGGTGGCTTGTATAACTAGAAGGAGATCTGTCCAGCCACTCATCGGGTGCCAAATTAAAATCACCTCCAATTAGTACCAAATTTGTATGAAATTTCGATTTAAAATGCGTAACAGCATCTGTAATATTAGACAACAAAATCTTGTTTTGCCCACTACTGTTATACCCATAAATATTAACTAAAATAACAAAAATACCCTCACAGTTAACCACAGCAGTAAGCCAATATAAGAGGCCAGAGTGACGCTAGACGAGAAAAGAAAGTCATTTCAGAGAAACTTTGAAAAATTAGGAAGACAAACATTTGTTTTATTTGGAATAACACGCACATACTGTCCACAATAAGACCAGAAAAATGGATTAAGAGAGAAAATAGTCCATTCTATTTTCATGTTGACTATTATAAAGTAATGAAAAAATGAATGAAAATGCTTTAACAACTCACTGAAATAAGTTTAAATTATAATTAATGTTATTAATATAATAATTACAAAATATTAATTCTTAAAATAAATAAATACAGTAATAATAATTGTTATAAATATAAAAATAATATATATTAATGTTAATATATATAAATATTAGATGAAAAACTAAAAAAATCCAAAACAAAAATTAGAAAAGCTTTAACAACTAACTTAATAATATAATAATAATTAATAATAATAATAATAATAGGAATTAATAATATTAATATAAATACCAGATGAATAACTTAAAGTAAAACAAAAATTAGAAAGCTTTGACAACTGAAAGAAGTTAAAGTATCAAGATAACTACAACTATCTCAAATAAAAAATAAATTACAGCTATATAGAAATATTTTAAAAGAAAACCTAAAATTTTAATGAAAACTGGAAATATTTAAAAAAAATATTTAAAAAATATTAACTCAAAATATTAATAATCACTGTAATAGTATATAAATAATGCTAAAATAACACTGCCATGGCTCTGACATAGTATACTTTTTAAACAAAACACTATATTAACAGTGTTAATGCATAATAATTATAATTAATAATATTAAACATCTTCAAGAAACGACTAAAAACACGTGTTCCATCTTTATTTGACCTTCTAACTCTAGCACTTTCTATTCTATTTTAATTCTACTTTATTTGTCTTCTTTTTATTAAAAAAAACTAACTCTAGCTTTCTATTTTTCTATTCTATCTACTTGTTTTTCTCTTTGTGTATGTGAGTGTATATATATGTGTGTGTGTGCGTATATATATATATATATATATATATATATATATATATAATTACAATAACAATATTTATGTTGCTTTTGTTAAAATAGTCACACGATGGTCACAAGATAAATATTCAGATTTTTTTCTCCATAGTCTGTTTTATTCAAACAATTATGAACATTTTTGCATTTA